AGACCTTCCGGCCCAATGCCAGCGTAATTGGATTTCTACTTACAGTCTAATATAAATCTTTGATAGGTATGCAATTTAGGGGAGTTCATTCAGAATGATTTTCAGTGGCCAAACCTGACTAAATATGAGAGAAAGGAATCTGAAATGTAATTGATACATGCCCTGCGTTTTAGGTAGAGTTCTGTTCTAAGCAGATTAGCTAGCAGTGGGTGCCATTGGGAAGAGTCAGCTGTTCTGTTTGAGTGAGACTGCTTATTTTGCAGACAGGGCATTCACAGCACAACTGATTGTGCCAGCAGTGAAAACAGGAAAAAACGTTGATATGATTCTATTTTTCCTGTTCTTGGTGCTGAAATGAAGAGAACTGAAGCTTCAGGTCTTAATAGATTTTTACAGCTAAATCATTATGAGAACCTGCTGAACCCTGTATTGCAGTCCACATATGCTATAGTCCCCTGTAACTTACTGCCACAGACACTTGACCTTGCTCGGGCAGTCGTACCTTCTCTGCCTTTCTAACTCGGAAAGAGAATGCACAGGAAAATCAGTAATCATCCCCAAGTTCCATAATTTCCATGCTAATAGAATATACCTGATAGCCCTTTTAGCTTGCTGGCAACCACCCTTTTTTACATCTGTCCATTGATGGTGTTTGGCGACAGAAATTGTGACTTTATAGAGTTAACATAGTTCCGATTGATGCTCTGTGCCAGAGTTGATCATGTAAATCTCCAGAGGACTCCAGCTTCCTTTGGAAATGTGTTTTTCCTGACAATGCAGGATTCTGTGCTGTAGTCTGAAAAAGCCTTGTAAGAATTATAATGGATGAGAGTGGGACATGTGGGAGAGACGTAGCAAATTTGTTCTTGCTGATAAACTGATTGATATTCACTTTGATCAGAGAAATTTCATACAGATTGCAGATACTCTTAAGATGTTACAGGCACTTGGAGTGCTACAAGGGTTTGTTTCTGACTGCAACCCTTTATTAGTATATACAGGACAAATTGACAAAATGCCAACTATTTTTCAGAGACCACTAAAAAGTAACATCTTGCAAACTGAAACTGCAGAATGCCTGGAAAGAAAAGTGCCACTTAATACAGGAAAAAATGTTAATACAGTAAAAATTGCCTTAAAATAGGCAAATTCAGTAATAAGAGATTACCTAGGCAGTAATACTCAGCTGAAACGCTCCAGAAACAACCCTCCTCCTCCAACTCTAGAAAAATTGCAATACTAGGGTATTCCTTGCTCATATGCTTGCATATTTCTAAAATGTTTGTTTGATTTGGTGGGTTGGAACAAGGGTGGGAACCCTTGTAAAGCAGTGTATTTTAAAATTCCTTGTGGATGCATTTGTAGGGCTGACTGTGGAGCTTTTTGCTTGATTTTTAAACTACAAAATTTGTTGCCACCATCTGCTGTGTATTCTGTATAACTGGGAGATATATTTTCACAAGAAAAGAGTTATTTTTCTTTCTTTTTTTTTTTTGGCACCATAATTTTTTCATTTTGCAAGCCTTGTATTTACCCATTTTAATGGCACCTTAGAGACAGATTGAGAGGTGAAAGATTTGTTGACAAAACACTGGCAATCAGGATTTCGGATATCCAAAGAAGCAGAAAACCTATTAATAGCACAATTTCTTGGCCATATTTTTCTATGTATTTAACATTAAATTAAAAGAGATGATTTTTGTTGAAAGACAATATGTGCTCTAGACCGTACTTAATGCTTTCAGTCTAAATATGGCATGTCTAGTGATGTGAATCTGTAGTGTTCTTTGCTTCAGAAGCCTCCAAAGTCATTGTTTTTTTTTCTGGATCTTGCATGCAGTTTGGATATGCTTTGTCATCTTTAACATTTGGATTTCTTATTCAAGTCCTTATAAGTGAACTTGCTAAATGAGCTCAGTATTAGGCTGACTGTTCCTTTTTTTACTGCTTCTTTGTGCAGAGGCCTTAGTATTGGGCTGGTTTTGTCAGAACGTGGACGTAGTGTATCCAGTTCATGTCTCTCTTCTCCTTTAAATGAAGAAAGGCATTAATTGCTGAAGAGACAGTTTGGTATGGAGTATTTACAGACTGATGCCTTAGATTTGTCCTGTGGTCTTCCATTATTTTTACCGCAACAGCAGTGAGATGTTGCAAGGTTATTCGTTACTGGCTGATCCAGATCATAAACAGTAGGATACATGAGTGGCATGTCACAGCCAGCTTTCTGTGTTCTTCTGGTGACTTCTTTCAGAATCACTTGGGAACCAGCTGAACTAGCTGTATTGTCATGGTGATGTTATCAAAAGCAGCCTGTTCCCTGGCTGCTGCCTTCCTGTGGCCTGGTTCCTTGTGGTCACTGTGTGTGTAGAATGAGCAGAAGGAGTGCACAAAGTCATTACTCTTAGCTGTTCGGCAGATTTTGTCCCTGGCTGAAGCAAGAATAAAGGATGGTGATGTGCTTGAAGAAGTGAGTTGTTGCTGTAGCATCAGAACAGCCAAGTCGGTGTAACTGGCTTGTGCTCAGTCATTCCAATGATGTTTCCTCAACAACACATGTGTGAACCCTTTCACCAGTTCCAAAATAAACCCAATTATTCTGCTATTGAACCCCACTGACAGTTAAACTTTGTGGATACAGTGTGCTTTTGTTGCCTTCTCTAAATTGCACCACTGCATTATACTGTGAAACTGGCCAAGATTTTCCTCTGCAGGTGGCTGTCCATGTTTTTTTGAGAGGTGAAGTGAGTGCTGAGACCTTTTAGGAGTAAAGCTATTATATAAGCAAAAAACAGTCCATCATTTTGATGATATCAGAATGCGGGAAGAATTGTAACATTGACTGGGGGATTCTTTGCCAGTAATCAGAATATGAAAATGCAAAATTTAAGTGTTACTAGTAAAGATCCCTGTGTGCTCTCATTTCAGTGTAAAATGAAATATCTGAAATATTATGTTTACCTAATTTTTCAGCCAAAGAAGTGAACACATAGAGATTCAATTCAAAATAAGCTTCTGGACAGTTTCTTCATAGTTAAAAAATAACCATTTAAAAAATTTTTAACACCATTGATTTATGATTAGGATCTTTTTCACCGTAATACACTAAATGTGTTGTTAGGTTAGCACAAACTAGAGAAAAATATATGAACTGAAATTTAATTTTGAAATACAGGGCTCTTGAAAGACCTGGATATGTAAGTCCATAGACACTCACTTCTTGCTTTTAGTATTCCCTTTAAAATCCCATCATTGAGCTTAATAAATGTGATAACCACAACCACTGATAGCCTTCATCTAGATGGTCTGTGGAGTGCGTTTTTTGACTCTAGAAAGTGGTTTAAAAATTAGCTGTTTGCCCTATCTGACTCAAAAGCCATTTCCTATGTCTAATCCGTTGTGTCGTTCAACAACTGCTTTTTTTACTACACATACTGTTTTTACTCAGCATGAAAATAGCTAAGACTGAGTGAACTGCAGGTTGTTAAATCGTTGTCAACAAAATTGGTTATTAAACGTAAAGCTGGTTATTTACACAAGCTCACTAAAGACTAAAATAGTTATACAGAAGCGGGGAACAGCCTGGTTCACTCCCAAGTTACAGTTTCCTTGGCTAAACAGCAAGGGAAATACTCTTCTGTGAACTAAGTGTATGTTTTGCAGTCATTCATGCCTGCTGTTCTTAGTTGATTTTTCAACTCTGCTTTCAACACGACCTGTTCTTCCTTCCACTGAAAGCCTTGGGAATTTAAATCTTGACTTCACTGGAAAACAGGGCTGTATCCTACTTATTTTTATTTAAAGAATAAGAAATTTAATGGTTTATGTAAAATACTGCATTCTGTAGCTTACTTAGTCATAAGTGACTAATTTACATCTCACAGAAGTGCTAGTCATGTTAAATTTCCATTACTTGGAACAAGATCAGGATTAAAAACTGGGAGGAGCAGAACAGATTCTCAGATCAGGACCTCAGTGTAAAACACTTCTGCATTTTGCCAGTGAGTTCTTTTGGGAACTGATCATGTAAAATGTTTTGATAGGGAGAGGAAAATGTTCTTATTATTCCAGCAAAATAGCTTTATTCCTTCCTTTTGTCTGAACAGGTAAACATCAGAATTTGGTCTGAATTAGCCTCTGCAGATGTGGTCTGGGGAAATTGGACAGGCGCCAACTCAGCATCGTTTCTTTGAGTTGGCACTTCAGGAGAGGGAGAGCAATCAAAGTGCATAAAACCCTTTCACTTCCATTTTCATCTGACTCTTGTCACCCACCAGAATACATCAATGTGGCAGATTTGGACCACGTAGGTTACACCTGGGGCAGACATTTCCTGCGATACAGCAGACCCAGCTGAGCTAAAGCTGCTGTGACAGGAATCCTGTGTATTGCTCCTGCAAGCCTAAGAATATGGTGTTCCCTGGAGAATGTTATGTTAGCTAGCTTTGCAAAGCTTTCCAGTAGCACAATTTTTATGTTGTTTTGAAGAGTGTTACTGGCTATGGGCAGCAGTGTACTCTGGCAAGTCTTGTGCTCTTTACAAGGGGCACAGACTCCGTCTGGTGATCCACTGAACAGGTTAGGAAGCTTTGTGAAGAGAACTGAAGTCTATTCTCTTCCTCTTAACATTCAAATTCTGTGGAAAGGCACTGGAAGGCCAACAGGAGACAAAGCTATCTTGAAACTGCCTAATGGAGACTTTAACAGTTAGAACAAAATATATTAAAGCACAGAACCATTAAAGTGTGAGGTGAACTACTGGGTACCTTTATTGCAATGACAGTTGCTATGCTTACACCTCACATACTTACATGTTATAGCATATATAGAGGTGATAAGAACAAGCTTTATTAGTTACATAATTGCATCAATAATCAGCTTTCTAACACGAAATGGAGATCTGTGAGTATTCCTTGCGTTGCGAAATACTGCTCAAGAGTGGAGGAACTCCAATGTCTTTACTAAGTTTGCCTGAGAATAAACTCCTCTGTTTTTGTTACCAGGAATTCAGCAGCAGTGGGTCACGGCTGTTTCTGCTACGCTCTAATGCGCTCAATTCCAGTTGCCATCTACGTTGTTTTGGTGACGGGTCTGCGGTACCACCTGTTCATATGGAGTGTCTTCTCTCCAAAACTGCTGTATGAGGGAGTGCATGTGTTCATCACAGCTGCTATCTGCCTGTTCTTCACAGCAATGGATCAGAACCACTTTCACAGAGTGCAAGATTGAAAAATAAGTGCGCGGTGTGCCGTTCTGGAATGTCACTGGAATGGAAGAAGGAAAATAAAGGCTTTATTTGAAGAGAATTTGAAGAGTGACCTTGTTTATTTGGGTCAGGGTTTGAAGGGTCTGTCCAGTGTTAAAATTGAATTTGCTTTAAAAATGTTGAATTGAACTGTTTTTTTGATAACTTCTCTTCTGTAGCTGCCATTATAGTGCTCCCCAAATAACAGAATGGTGATATTACATGTTTTGAACCTTAAAATGTATATCTTAACATAAATATAGACCAGTGCCTCGTGGGCACTGAGAAAATCTTCTGCACGTACGTACAGTTTTTTGACCTTCTTAGACTACAAGATCCTAAAAATATTCAGGACTTCTTGGTGCTGTTCACAAAATCTTCTGTCCGTTAGCCTCAGGGGGTTTTTGTGTTTGTTTTGTTTCTAGTGGAGGCATTGAAATTATTACTAAATTATTGTTCTACAAATATCCCAGGTAAGTGATTTTGCTTGTTTTGCACGGGCAGCAAGCATTTCTATTTAAAGGCAGCATTTTGTTTGTAAGGTGAGTGCAATCACTGTCTGTAATGGATTTCGATCTGCACTTCAGGCACTGAATAAAAAATGCTCATGGTCTAACAAAGTAATGAATCTTCTGTGGAGTCCATCCACTGCTAAAATGTTGTGTTTCTTCTTATCAATGTATAAATGTTAAATCAGGTTTGTGGCGGCCATGCTGAACATTTGGCCGTGTTTTCCACACGATGGTAGAGAGTTGTGAGCAGTGAATAGGAAAACAGCTTAATGGACTAAGTTACCAGCAGAATAAAAGGTGTGTTTGCAGTTTGCATCACCTTCCCCCAGTGACCTGTTTCACCATCTCACTTGAATGTGCTGTAATTAATTCCTAACAATGTTGTTTTCCTTGCTTCTGTCAAGAAGATATATGTTGATGACTACACTGACTATAAATATTCTTTATGTGTGTTTCTTTGCCTCATATTTTTGTCCATGTTAGTAGCTGATAGGATTTAATCTAAATATATTAGAGGTATAGCAGAAAAGAAGCATAGAGAGAACTTTTAACTTTTGTTATAAATCTGGAAAAAGAAAGCTTTCAAGGCCTGTAGACCTGATAGCCCATTTGTTAGGCTCATTAATACACTTTGCATCTCATACTTCAGATAAAGCAACCTTTAGTTTTTATGTATTAATAACAGGCCATCTTGATCACTGATAATGAAGTTTTTTTCACCTATAAAGCAACCACAATGTTCGATACGCTGGCAACGTATTGCCATTCACTGTGAGCTGCTGGGAGATGTAAAATTAAATACTTCTAATAAATCACTTTTCACTGCAAAATATGGTGTTAATGTAGTACAAATTTATCATTTTTATCATTCCCAATATTCTTCTGGTTACCTGTTGGTGAGCAACCATGTGGGCATTACCAACATATTCTCTGTTTGCTCACTTGGTTAATTCCTAAGCAATTAGCCCTAACATTCAAACAGATTATGTTTAAAAAACATTTGACTCAGAGAGAAAGAGTGCTAATAAAGAGATGGAAAGGGTGGAGGGGAAGTTGCTTCTGGTGTACAGAATCCTAAAACAATGTGGGATGACATTCACAAGATGCTCTTTTCCTTCCTTCTGATATTTTTTGCTTCTAGTACATCTCTTGGACATTTTATCAAATAGTGGAATCTTAAATACTGTGTGTGAATTAAGGTTACAGTTCTTCAGATTACTTAGTTAAATAATAGTTTCTCCTTTGAAGATGGAAGATGTCCAGAATGCATCCAGGCTAAAATAAAAGGCCTGGGAAAACTGTGTTATTTAGGTCTGCAAGACCAAGAAAGGAAGGAAGAAGAAGACACTGTGTCTCTATCTCAAGTTAACTCACAGTTTAGGGGATACATGAAAGAAACATGGTACTTTCAACTTCAGAATTGCCATTTTTATTCTTTTCACCCTTTCCCTTTTGGTCACAGGCAAATGAAGTCATGTTTTAGCTTCATCAGCTTATGGGCAATAGCAATGCAAAGCTGAGGCAGCGAAGGAATGAGTTGGTTCTTGCCACAGGCAAACAGACTTTAACTGGGGAATTATGTAAAAATAGTTTTATTTTCAATCTACTTAAAGTTCTGGTATTTTATCTGAATGTACAGAGAATGCAAATGCCTCAACACAAATTCTTATCTCGCTGTTTGGTTGTTCCACTTCCCTTCTCATCCAATCTCCCCATATCATGTTCAGCGTGTTCCAAACCCTCAGTCACGGAGACAAGTGCTGTGGGAAGAAGGAATGCTATTTTTTTTTGCCATTCTGAGCATACCAGTTCCTTCTGTCCAAGTCATCTGTAGTCCCTGATCTGGTGTGGGATCAGCCTGGGCTGCAGCTTCCTCGGTAGTACCCTGTGCATGGGCATAAATACCTTCTGAGGTATTTACTCCATAAATACCTTCTGAGCAGGAATGTCTTCTCATTGTGGAGAAAGTTTTGACATGTTAATTTTTTCCATTCAGCACCTTTCCTGTTGGCCAGGGCCAGGTTCAGCCATTTACAGTGGTCTGTAGCTTCCTTTACCAGATTCACCAGGTCACCATCAGTCAGCTCAGCTCAAAGCTTGTAACATGTGATCAGTCCTACAGAGTCAGAGCACGATGAAGCTTGAGCTTCCTTCTTGTAAGTGAATTCAGGTTTAAGGAAAAAAATATTAAATCTGTCCATGTTTCAGATACTGTATATCTGTATTTCTACTCTCTAGAAAAAAAAGCCTCCATTTTCCTTGGCTCTCTATAAGCCAGCAGAAGATCCACAGCGTGCACCCCAGCCTTTCCAGCAGGTCAGGCACGTGTGCTAGGCTGCTGCACCTACACTCTGTGGAGAAGGGAAGAGCACTGGATGCTGGACAACTTTAGCAAGGCCTTCAGCATCAGGTACTTGGTGGCCACGTGTTGAGCTGTGGATCAGTGGGCTTGAAGGTGAACTGGATCTTCAAGCTCTAAGGGTTGACTTCAGTGGTCTGAGGTCCCACAGGGACTGATAACAGTAGTGCAGTGCTAGGGTAAGGCAATTTAAAATCTTTCCTAAGTTGGGTGAGGGCATGGCAAGACCAGAGCAAATCTGGAAATGCTACCAAATTGGAGGAGTGGTGTATATGCTGGGGGGCAGGACCACCCCCTAGAGGGACCTTGGAACACTGGAGAAATGGGCTGCTGACCACCTGCAGTACCATCCAAGCAAATACTCCTGGCTGATAATGGTGCAGGATGGGGCCCACGGGCTGGTGAACAGCTCTGGAGACCCACTGGGCAGAAAGGGAGACTGTGAGCAGCCCTGACAGCCTGATCTTGTTCCCCAGCTGATCAGTATTCAAGGAAAAACAAACACACGTATTTGCACAGATAGTTTGTCCAGCCCAAATCCCAGTGGCCTGCTCTGCTGCTGGCACCCAGAGGATATGAGCTATGCTCCTGTTACTGGTATCCAGACCTCTTCTCTTACTGGTGATTCCAGCCTGAAGTTCACTGGTGTTCACAGGAACCTGCCAAGAGCAGAGGAAGCACCCACAAAGAAGTAGAATTTAATGAGAGGATGGGGCACACAGTAGTGATGGACTCCCACAGAGAAATAACACTGACTGTTCGGTATAAACAGAATCTTGTTTATACTGAGCCAGTCCTGTTTATCCACATTTTGCCTCTGCTTTCCCATGTTTATTCCTTCCTGATCCATATTGAACCTTCTTTTTCCCTACATTTGGTCCTTTCCCTAAGTATTACATAATGACTGACATGTTCCATCAAACCCCTTAAAAACATGCCATAAGTTTTACAGAATCCTGAAGTGCTTTTCCCTGTGGATCTCATAATGACACCTGTGGTCCTTCAGGCTCCTTCAGTCTGCAAGGTCTTCAATGGGAGGAGTTTCTTTGGTTGACTAATCCTGGTGGGCTTCACACCAGGGACAATTATCCAACTGCTTAGTGAGTGATTAGATAGCCATCTAAATAAATTACTATAAATTACTGATTAGACAATTAGGTTAGCAGAGATCCTCAGCATTTCTTGCCCATCTGACCCTCACCAGACCTTTGTGTGACCATGACTTTAATCACCTAAGTTCACAACGATTTTTGCCATGTTTCAGCCCAGGGATGAGGAAGCATCAGAGACCTTTTGGCTGCAGTCACCTCCCAGGAGGTGGAGCACGGAGATAATGAAGGTAGACTCTTCTCAGAAGGGCACAGGTAGAGACACAAAGGCAACAGGCACAAGTTGCAATACAGGACCTTGCCAAGAGGTCAGGGGACCATTTTCTCACCTGAGTGTTTACTGATGGGATGGGATTCAGTGAGCTCTTCCAGCATTGGAGCAATCTCATTTAATTGCCCCTGCTGGTGGCGAGAAGTTGTACTGTGTGAGCTCCAGAGGGGTCCTCCAAGCAACATTTTTCAAGCATTCTGTTGTTTTGTTGTGTTTGAAGTTGTCTCTGCCATTTCTTACTGACCATTTTTTTGGGCTACTTCCTGAAGTGAAAGAGCTTTGTTATTGATTTCATAATAAAAATATAAATAAATGAACCAACAGAAAATAAAACATCTGTGTCATGTTCTTTTTCTAAAAGAGATAAGCATCACAGCTGAAAACTCTTGTTAATTTCAGTTTTCTTCTATGTAGCTGTGCATTTACACCTTAGATACCAGGAGTATCATCAGTGGAAGGTGAGGTTTAATGCCATCTGTCCTTAGCTTCAGTGCCTCCATAGCCTGAGGATTCTCAGATTTGATGATGAAAGGTGTGCTGTTCTGCCATCGGCTCTGTTATGATTCAGATGGTTCCCCAAAATGTTCAGCTTGTCTATCAGGCCTGAAGTGAAAGCTGTCGCCTTGTTGTGATTTCTGCAGGCCCATGCCAGGTACATTTGTTAGGACACATATAGGTGACTTACCTTCTGAAGTTGTTTTTCTGTTTCCAGATTGAGAAATAGGCCTATGGACACTAATTCCTGTGGTTTGCTTGTTTGGGGACACAAGTTCGTCCCAAAGGACCTGTTATATCTCAACATTTGATAAAAAACTTGGGTTGCTATGAGGAATTGCACTCTTCCTTCAGCATCTGTCTCCCTCACTCAGTGTAACATTGTTGTCCTCCCCACTCGCAGAGTACTGAGGACAAATTTTCAGCACGACAATAGCTTAAGGTATAACTCAAGTTCATTCTGTAGGTCAAAGCACAATGGTTTTACATTACATTATTGTCAAAGAGCTAAGGGTGCCAGCCACCAAAGATTGGCTTAAGCATAATGCTTAGTGTCAGTATGAACATGGTAAAGCTGTCATCACCTGTTCAGGACTCTGATTTTACCACTGCAGTGTGTTATATTGGGTGGTGTCTATTGCAAAGACTACTGGTGATGCAGAACATGACACAGCACAGCTCACACAGCAAATGTGCACCCAGTAGTGCATCATTGGGGTACTGGTCACCAGCAGGAAGACATGAGGTCCAAAACACTCAGAAGACCCTGGTTATCTCCTCTGATAAGATGAGCCTGGAAGACTTGAGCTTAACTTTTCCTGATAATAGAAAAAAAAAAAAAAAAAGCTGCTGGTTTTGGAGGCTGTAGAATTTCCCAGTAAGTCAAAATAGCCCTACCTGGTCTCAAGCTTTTGCTGACCTGCAAAAGCTGTTTGGGCTGGTTCCCTCAAAAAACTGAGTCCGTGGTCACAGAGACAGCACTGGGGTGTGGTGTAGTGTCTGCAGTTGTTCAGGCTTACTGGTTTGGCACAAGTTTGTCACCATTTGTGTACAGCAGTTGTTGAGCAGGGTTAGTCCTTAGATCCTTTGGGTAACTGGGCATAAGATCAAATTAAAGAAAACATGCTGCTGAATCATACCTAGGGACAGTGCTGTTTATCCCATCTGCCCTTTTAACACATGTAACATCTCTGAGCAGGCCAAAATGAATCCCTTTTATGAAAACCCCAGAATAAGAAAAACCAAAAAACAACAACAACAACAACAAATAAATAAAAATCAACCAACCAACAAAAAACCCCAACCATAATAATCAAGACACTTGCCTGACTGGGAGCAATAGTTCACCTACACGTAAACTCACAACAGCTGACTTCCAATATGCTTTCATCTCAACATCCTACTCAGATTTTTGCTAGTGGGGGAGAAAGGGGAACATAAGGAAACAAAACGTATGTGATCTTATTCATACTGCTGACCTGTTTCAATCAAGCCTGGAGCAACCTGGAGCAAAGCACAGGTCATAGGATATTCTGAGTTCTCATATCTCTCAGCTAAACAGCAGCAATGTGTCATGGACAAAGATTTCAGGGCATGACCCTGCTACTACCTTCACTTCAGCAAGGCTTTTGACACTGTGTCCCCTAACATCCTTGTAGGTAAACTCATGAAATGTGGGTAAGATGAATGGACAGTGAGGTGGATCAAGAACTGGCTGACTGGCAGAGCTCAGAGGGTTGTGATCAGTGTAGCAGAATCCAGTGGTAGGCCTGTAATCAGTGGTGTTTCCCACTGGCTCCAGTCCTATTCAGCCTGTTTGTCAGTGACATGGACAAAGGGATAGACTGTACCCTCAGCAAGTTTGCTGATGAAATGAAACCGGGGGGAGTGGCTGATACAGCTAAAGGCTGTGCTGCCATTCAGCAGGACCATGATAGGCTGGAGAGCTGGATGAAGAGAAACCTGATGAGGTTCAACAAGGGCAAGTGTAGGGTCCTGCACCTGGAGAGGAATGACCCCAAGTACCAGCACAGGTTGGGGGCTGAGCTGCTGGAACACAGCTCTGCAGAGAAGAACCTGGGAGTCCTGGTGGATGAGAAGTCGACCATGAGCTGGCAGTGTGTCCTTGCAGCCAGGAGGGCCAATGGGATCCTGGGGTGCACTGGGAAGAGGGTGGCCAGCAGGTCGAGGGAGGTGATCCTCCCCCTCTATTCAGCCCTAGTGAGGCCAGGTCTGGAGTGCTGTCTCCACTGCTGGGCTCTTCAGTACAAGAAAAACAATGAGCTACTGGAGAGGTTCCAGCAGAGGACCACAAAAACGATTAGGCGACTGGAGCATCTCTCTTATGAGGAGAGATTGTGGGAGCTGGGCCTGTTTAGTCTAGAGAAGAGAAAACTAAGAGGGGATCTCAGTAATGCAAATAAATATCTCAAAGGTGGGTGTCATGAAGATGGTGCCAGACTTCTTTCAGTGATGCCCAGCAACAGGATCAATGGCCATAAACTAAAATGCGAGAAGTTTCACCTCAACATGAGGAAGAACTTCTTTACGTTGAGGATGAGAGAGCACTGGAACAGGCTGCCTGGAGAGATCATGGAGTCTCCCTCTCTGGAGGTATTCAAATCCACCTGGGTGCATTCCGGTGTAACCTGCTCTAGGAGGCCCTGCCTTCGCAGAGGGGTTGGACTAGATGATCTCAAGAGGTCCCTTTCAACCCTAATAATTCAGTGATTCTGTAAAGAGTGGGCAGTCAGGACTTAGCTAGTGTCCATCCACACAACAGCAGCTGCCTGACCAGTCCATGCACGTAGGCTTTAGGCAAATACAGGTGTTGAGACCTGGCTTTGCTAGTTTCCCTAGTCTTTAAATGCATAGTGAAGAAGCTACTACAGGGTCCTTCTTATTTTCTAGAGAGAGAATCATCTGGCAGATGTGCCTCAGTAGCAGAATTTTACTAGGTTTTGATGAAGGCCATGGTCAGCACCTGCAGCTGTGCCTTAGCATCCTTGTGGTGGAGCCTGGACAGCAGCTGCGTGTTTTGGTTCCTGAGTACAAGTGCAGGATAGAGATGAGTCACCCTTTCCATCCTTCCCATCCTTCCTCCTCACTCTCTGCACTGGATTCCCATCTCAACAGAAACAGAGCCAGGAGTGTCACACAGCCTGCCTGGGACTTGGACTGTGACTTGGGAACTTTCACAAAGTGTTGTGGGGACATGACTGGGGGCTGTCTGCTACCAGAAGGGACACACAGTACTCTCCTGGCTTGCATATCAGCAGAGACACAAAGTCAAAGGTCAGACTTTTCACATTTCCTGGATAACACTTGTGTAGAGCCTGCTCATTTGCCCTAGGGTGAATTTTGCAGAGCAAACACGATACCAAAAGTATACCATGTGCTATACCATGGCTAGGAGACAGGTTGTCTTGGTTTAATGGCAATATGTTTGGGAGGTGAGACTTCTAATGAGATGAACCCTCCTTTTTTTTTTCTTTTTTTTATTTATTTTTAATTCCCCTCCCCTCAGAATAGACAAGGTAAAAATTACCAGGAGTCTGAACGGAGAAGGAAAAATAACAATTTTACTAAAACCAGAAAGAAACAGAAAAAAACCCTGACAACAGCAGAAAAATATTACCTAGCTACTCCCCTTTCCTCTAGGTTAAAACAAACCCTGGAAGGACATTTTGCCTGAAGAAAAGTCCTGTGCTGGTGTGGTGGTTGGTCACACTGGGACGGCTCAGCTGGGGCCAGGGTGACCTTGGTCTGATGCCAAAGTGGCCTCAGCTGAGGCAGGGTGGGCCCTGGGAAAAGGCTCCAAGAGTTTGGGGTGCTCCAGCAGGCAAAAACCAGGCACCAAGAGGGCAATTCCACCACGTGCCTGCCTTTTATCTCCTGAGTTCCCAGGATGCTCCACTTCAATGATCAACCATTCCAGCATGTCCCCAGACTCTGGGAACAGTCTTCCTCGACCCAGCTCGGGCAGGGGGCGGTCCCCCATGCTCCGAATTGCCTGGTGGTATCAAAAAATTCACTAAGAATCCTTCCCATTTAACTACAACTGCAAAGCAAGGTACGCACAAACAAAATATTTAAAGCCTGAAACTCAGATGATAAAATACTTGATGATCAGCAGAGTAATTTTACTCCATTTGTAACAAATGTGCTCATTTGCATGAGGAGTGCAGTGAACGTAGATTAGATGGAACAAAAGCTCAGAGATTGGGCAGCTTTCCTCTTTGATGCAAAGATTATAATTAGTCTGTATTTTGGTATGGGATAGTTTGAAAATGTCTTAGTGGAATACTGAGCAAGCGTAACGTCCCTGGAAGTGTTTCACCTGCTGTTAGATGCTTAAATCAAATTGCTGGCTTAATCAGTCCAGTTAGATTTTCTTAGATTTTTACATGTGGCGTCCCCAGAAAAACCCTGTAAACATACCATTTCCATAGAATGGGCTTTTTAATTTTATTGTTTAATGGCCTCGCTCCATTCCCACTGAAATCAGGGGAATTTTGCTCATACTGCCAAGAGAGCCCTAAATTTCAAATAATTTCCAGTTGCCATTACTGAAGTCTTTTGTTTGCCTGATGCTGTACTGCTTAAGATTTCTTAAGTACTCTTAGAAAATAAAGGCCAAATCAGTTTTAATTCTGCATTTGAATTGTCAGTGTCATGCTGCTTTTATGTAGGCATATGCATATTGAGTATTATTTTCTGAGTGTAATTGCCTTAAGTGCTGTTGATCGTGCAAAGAGAATGATGCATTCTCTGACTCAAGGGTCTGAGAATCAAAGTCCCAGATCCCGAAAATGCTTAAGCATGCGGAGAAAGCCCTC